CGAAACACGTTGACGTCTTGTTTACACTCGTTATTATCAGCTGATCGTGAGACAAAAGACGGCCGAGAAGCGCACACTTATTCATTGTCTTTAATTGTCTTTAATAATCAATGGAGATGTAGATACTAATTAGATATTAGATACTAATCTTCATATTAGATTTTTATGTTTCTCAGTATCTATATATGTTTTGTATAGTATTTATTTTTTTGTGTGTGTGGAGGGAGGGTGGTTGGTGAGTGAGTGCGTCTGTGGTGGTAGGAGGTAGATTAGTGGGTTTGAGTGCGTGTGTGTGTGTGTGTGTGTGTGTGTGTGTGTGTGTGTGTGTGTGTGTGTGTGTGTGTGTGTGTGTGTGTGTGTGTGTGTGTGTGTGTGTGTGTAAGAGAGAGAGGGAGGGAGAGGGGAGAGTGAGAGAGAGAGAGAGGCGGGGGGGGGGGGGGGAGCGTGTGTGTGTGTGTAAGAGAGAGAGAGAGAGAGAGAGAAGAGAGAGAGAGAGAGAGAGTGTAGAGAGAGAGAGAGAGAGTGTGTGAGAGAGAGAGAGAGAGAGTGTGTGTGAGAAAGGGATGTGTTTATTTACGTGTATCTTCCTGTGTGTGGGTGGATGCGAGTCCGTGTATGCCTATTGTATCAATCTGTTGAAAATGCAGTTTCCGTCTATCAGAATAACTCAACACTCCAAGAAGGGATTAAGAAATACACATTCTCAAATTCTCTTAGATTTAGTTGATATAAGAAAATATACAAACAATAATAAATAGTCATAAATAACATATTAACAAATAATAAATACACTATCACTTAACCTAAGCTACAAAGCCAATTACAGTTGCATTACTGGCTATCCTTACAACACAAATAAATATTCCGGATAAGATTTACACGTCTTTGGATTTGATTTCTTTCTCCTTCTTTCTTCACTTGTGTCGAAAACCGTAAATCAATGCACACCCAAGTTCACCGAGTTGCAAATTCCTTGCAAGATCACGACACCTTCTTGTGGTCTCTTTCAATGGGAGTTTCTCCAAGCAAGTGATAGCAAGCCGGGTGTAGACGGTTGCTTGGCAGCTTGCAGTCAACTAAAAGAGACGGGGGGAGGGGGGACGAGATTAGCATTAGTGTTCGACAAAGTTGTGTGTGAAAGAAAATATGACTTCATGCGAGGTTTTGGCTGCTGGCATATATCCACAAAATTACGAGTTCTATGACTTACCTTGTGTACAAGATCCTTTACACAACCTCACGTCCACCGGCTGTTCTCTAGAGCATTTCCCAGCGTCCAGGAAGCGAGCTGCAGAGAGGGGCGTCGCTCCTTCCACCAAAGGCGTTCCGCATGCCACAAGCCGTCGCTGGAGGCCAAGACCGCACCAGTGTGAGCACGGACTCCACGGCCCCACCACCCACCTGAAAAAAAAAATACGAAACGGTATAGCATTCCCAGTCTTGTGTTTGAAATATTAGTCTTCATATCAGTCTCTTAGCCTCGGAAATCGAGAGACTTTAGAGGAAATATGCATTTTGTGTTTACTTTCACGTTTAGAAATCACATTTTAAATTTGGAGATTAGTTACTTACTCAGGTACGGCGCAGGGAAATGTATTACAGGACTGGTTGAAGGGCGCGACGCCGTAGGGCAGCCCGTTGCAAAGAGCCTGAGAAACCACAACGTCTGGGGCGCTCGTCTCAACGCACACCTGATAGAGAAAGTTTTGTAACATTTGCGTTAACCCACTGCCGCCGGGGAAAATGAAAAAAAAAATGGGGAGAATACAGTACTCATTTTTTATATTTTTGTGAAATATCTCTGTCCATAGATGGCTCTTCTAGTCCTGATTTCACCTGTCCTTTAATTGGCGGGAAAAATCGTATTCTTACTAGTGCTATAAATACAGATGGTGTTATTTTTAACAGCAAATTAGGATAACGTTAAATATTTTCGTAAATCGTTAAAGTGACTTCCATATTCTCAATTTACACCAGCGTCAGAAAACTCAGTGTAATAATTCGAAGGGTTGTATTTAAACACCTTACCTGAGTGACTCTGCGTGTGCCGCCGCCACAGGCCCGAGTGCAAGGGCTGATGCGGAAGGCGCGAGTGTGCATGGGTGCAGTTGCGGCCAACAAGGGCTCTTGTCGATAACCATCTCGAAGGTAAGATATTCTGCAGAAGAGATTAAATTAATTACTGAGGAATACAATTTAGGATATAACTGCACAGATACACGTAGAAGAGAGTAAATCAACTACAGAATAATACAATTCGTGTCTGAGATATAACTGCACCTCGGTATAATCAGAACGATAGTAAGCGCTTCTTATAGAAAAAATGAATTTTTGAAATATCACAGTACCTTGTATGCGCAGTGTGATGGCGATCGAAATTTTCTTCCGACTGGCGTCTGCTCACAGGGGGATCCTCTCCATTCTTCGTCACAGGCGCGCTGTTCCCGTAAGAGTTCATGAGGACGGAAGCAAGCAAGTTCTGAAGAAGGTGGGAAGGCAGGGAGAAATGAAGGCCTGATCCCGCAATAGTAAAATTATCCACAGAAAACATCGCACTGCTTTCCTCCTCGTCTTTGTAATTATTAGTGAGCTGCTTTTCGTCGATTGAAGACATAGGGATTCCTATCGTGGTAGTTTGCTTTTCGGCTTCACTGCTTGTGAAGTTTTCTACTTGGTGCGTATCATCTGTAGGAAGTCGTATAGTGACTGATTCATCTGATCTTGAATGATTTGTTTGACCTTGTGATACGTTTTTGGCTTCGTTGGGTAATTCTGAAGTTATCATTTGCTCACTGATGGAATAATCTGTTGTGGTTTGTGTTGTTATCGTTTCTGTAGTGTATGGCATCTCTGTGACCTCTTCTAATGAATCGTTTGTCTCTGGGTTCTGATTTATGGCTATAAAGTCACTTTTTGCCTCCGTGTCTGTGGCGTTCTGGACTGCAACACCAAGGTCCTTGTCTTCGGATGATTTGTCTCCATTCTCCTTATCGTCCTGCAATTGTGCTTCTTCCTCTGTGAAAGAACGGATTTCACTTGCAAGAGACTCTACAGCTTCATTTACGGCGTCGAATAACACGAACTCGTCATCTGGCAATTTTGATTCAGTCGTGGGGATCTGTGATGATTCGGTGTTTTCTACCGATTTCGTGGTAACGGAGGTTGTTTCCTGTGAGATATTTTTGGGAACAGATGTCTCGTTATTAGATATTTGCCGCGATTTATCCCTACTGACTATGGTTTTCGGTGACTCTGGATCGAAGGTGATGACTTCTCTTAACTCAGCGTTGGCAGTAGTGGCTTCCGATGACTCACTCTTTGAGGCGATGGTTTTCATTGTCTCTGCGTCGGTGGTTTCTACAGACTCATCATTAACATAAAGCCTTGTGTAGTTATCCTCACTGTAGGTTATATTTATTAGTTCGGGCAGAGTTGAAATCCTAAATGGTTGGGGTGCTTTAGCAGGTCTTTGTGGATGAGTAGGGCGATTCGGACGATTGGGGCGTTGAGGACGATTTGTGTTGGAGGAACCGGCCGGAGGGGTCTTACATCCGATGTATGGATGGAGGAACGGAGGCATGAAATAGCAGCGGTGGGGAATCGGTATGTACTGGATCTGAAAGAGGAATTATAATTTACTTGTTAACAAATCAATAGAAAGAATGATGTTTAGCACAGAAGAGCTTTCTAACAGGAATCCGATAGATGAGCTTATTAATATATCTAATTCTTACCTCATTCGGGATTTTGGCCGGAGGGAAGACGGAGTCGCCGCCCCCATTACCTGGCGGCTTTGTGGGTGGTTTCGTGGGCGGCTCTGTAGGTGGCTCAGTCGGGGGGATCTTGCCTTCCTTGCAGTCACCAGCTACGCAGATTCGGTTCGTTCCACAGCTGGTTCCAGGGAGGGCCGGATGGGCCCCGCGGGTCGTTACGCCGTTGGTGCACATGAGGTACTTGCAGAGACTCTAAGATGAGTAATTATTTATTAATTATTTCGTGCGCACACATGACTCAGAGCATAAGAGTCGATACAAGGAAGACAGGACAGACAGACAGGTTTACTCACCCACTTGGACGGCGTCGCCCTAAACCCCTTTCCGTGTGCCAGCTGACACTGGGCATCAGCGGGGTACCTCTGGCCTGGTGGCCCTCCCTTGGTGTGATCCAACTCCACAGGCGTTGCTCTGCTCGACGCGGTACCTCTCTCCAAGCACGTTTCATTCCTGGAAGAAATGTGTGATGTTCTTGTTAAAGATACTAATTATTCAAGCAAGAAGTTGAAATGTAACGAGATCGCCTTTATTAACTGCAAGTTTTCTGTCACGTAGATTATAATTAGAAAGATAAGCGACTCACTCAAGAAACCTGTCACAGCTTAAATACAATGTATAATTTAATATACGCGTGTTTTTATTTCAATATCGCTACAGTTCTAATGAATACAGTTACAGCCTTTAGCTTCAGGAAATTCTGAAGTAGTATAGAAAAATACCAAGGGAATGGTAAAAGCTTACCTGAGGAAGGCTCTGATGGCGTCGCGCGAGCAGTTGGACCAGTCGAAGGTCTCTTCGGAGAGCGACTGGCCCATGATGAAGCCCTCGCCGGGGCAGCGTGCGGCCGCGCCCTCGCCGTCGTGCGGGACGCCCATGGAAGTGCGCCAGTTCGTGGGCGGCCACTTGGACGGCCTTGAAAGAGTTGGCCTCCACCACGGAGCAGGACGTCCGAGGGTGGCACAGGCCGCCCACGAAGGTCACGCCCAAAGAATCCTTCGTCGTCTCGAACAGTTCCTTCCTGAGGAACAGCAAAAAGTGGGGCCATGTTCATCGTAAACGTAATCAGATCTCTCTCTGCATTATACGTTATAGCTTCTTCTAGACTCCTCTATCTAATGAAACTACATATGTTAAACCTTTGCGACCTACGAAATATTCACGATATACGAGAGAAGATGCTCACCCTGTCAACATTATGGCGTGATGCCAGTAGCCGGGATCGCCGCGCTCAGGTTTCCTCTCACTCGCCCACTCGCAGA